AAAATTTAACTTTTGTTCCGATCTATGCAGTATGAACTTATGGTATCTTGAAGTCTTGCAGTTATATGCTTGGGTTGGGATTTAATTTTATTTATTATAGGATCCCAAGCAGATGGTAGCACCCAGCCATCTTTTCTATTGAAATTAGGGTGTTTTTTGATTTCAATAGCCTCGCAAATCATCCTTGGAAGGAATCATAAAACTTGTGTGTATCGGCTACCCGTTGCAACGTATCATCACGTGCTCGCAAGACAATGTCTCGTAAAGAAAATTGATCACCACTAATTACGGCTGCTATTTCGTTAATCAAAGGTGCATTGTAGCGCATTTCATGCTCTTCTCGAGGGGTCCGATCAGCGTGAATAACGACTTTATAATCCTCTTCAGGTAGGTTTTCTAAAGCAGTTTTAAATGTTTTGACTAAAATGTTACGTTCATGCAAGAATCTTTGAATTTTGAACACTGTGTCTCTCAACTCCCTGGATAAATTAGCAGCGACGTTCTACCTCAATTTTTTCGTCACCCATAAAATATACTTGTAAAAATTTATGCTGTTCGTTTTCAACTGGAAAAAGTGAACCTATTCTATGATAAATTTGTCCTTGCACCGTAAATGTAGGCGAAAATCCCGGCATTATTATTTCCCGGTCAACTCCGAAGGACGTCATTTGAAAGCACGAGTTATATTTCCGGATCCTGTTTAAAAAGCGCCGTGAATCATTAGCATCAGTCCGATAGCAACTAACCTGTGATTTTTATAATCAATCAACGGATCATAATTGAATGCTGCGTCAATAAAAACCGACCAATTGTTTCTTTGAAAATTTTTTTGACGTTCAGCTTGGAGCTGTGCATTCGCATCTCTTCGCGCCTATGTCTGTTCTGGTGTTTCAGATGCCCTTATAGTAGATTGACGTACAGCTTGCTCAATGAATCTGTGTTGATTTTCATCAGGTGTTTCCGCGGCTCTTAAGGAGGCCTGACGTTCCGCTTGTTCGAATAGCCTTTGCTGACTTTGAGCAGGTGTTTCAGTAGCTCTTAAAGTAGATTGAGGCTCTGCCTGTTGAAGACGCCTTTGCTGACTTTGATCAGGTATTTCAGTAGCTCTTAAAGTAGCTTGACTCTCTGCCTGTTCAATACGCCTTCGCTGACTTTGAGAAGGTGTTTCAGAAGCTCTTAAATTAGCTGGACGCTCTGCCTGTTCAAGACGCCTTTCCTGACTTTGAGAAGGTGTTTTGAAAGCTCTTAAAGCAGCCTGACGCTTTGTCTGTTCAAGACGCCTTTGCTGACGTTAAGAAGGTGTCTCAGATGCTCTAAAAGCATCTTGACTCTCCGCTTGTTCTTGTCTTCTCAGTTCAGCATCTTCTAAAGATTCTAGCGATCGAGTTAATCTTTTCGCTTGTCTTTGAGAAGATACTCTTGAAAGGCTGGACTTACGTTTGCGAGGCATTATGAAGTAACAAAAAACCTATTTATAAGAAAACGTCAAAATACCTAAAAGGAATTAAATTTCCTTTTAAATATTTTTTTAAAGCAAATCCAAAATATCTAAAAGGAATAAATATTCCTTTTAAATATGTTTAAAATCAAAACAACAAAAACAATTCAAGACACAACACGAATCCGAAAACGATAGCCAAAAAAATTCGAATCAATTCAAACCAAATCACAAAACAAATCGCAGAAAACCGAAATCGAAAGCAGTACTTAATATAAATATAACCAACGAAAAAAGATGTAAGTGTATAGGTACCGTATACACTATATATACTATTAATATTCCTTTGAAATATTGTTAAACAACCTAAAACAACGAAAACCAATTGACGATTCTAAATATTAATTACTTTAAAATATATTTTTGAAAACGTAAGAACGTGTACACTTTTTTCTTCAACTACCGCCAAAAGGCTAATTAAATGGTAAATGCGAAATTAAAATATGAAAATGGATGTTGGAGCAACGATTATGGAGACAAATCCTTATTTATTAATGAACTTCGGTTCAAAAAAATTGCACTTCGAAAAATTGTAATAATATGTTTAACTATATAAACTTAGTTTTGGGTATTATTTTGAAAAATGATGAATTTATTAGAGAAGCGAAATAAATCTAGAATTGAAAATTCTAATGTTGTAATTACATTTCTGCTTATAAAATAATTGACTTACATAATGGAAGTTTGGATTAGCCTCGATGATAATGAAATTTTACAAACTTATAATTGAATTATACTTTGTAGCTACAGGACCGCGTATCCTTTAACCGACTGTTCCGTTGATATTAGATAATATTTTTGAATAATATGTAATTCATGAATAAAACAATCTGTCATGAAACTGACTACAAGTTTCAAAGGTATCTTACCACAATTATTGTCTGTTTATTGTTAAAGAAATATCGTATTAATTAACGTTGGTCTAGTGGTATAACGCGATTGTGTATCGTGAGTTCCCGGATTCGAAGCCCCCGGTCGGGCCAAAATCAGTTATTGGGTAAAAGTACTAAGAACAGAATAATTAAAATAGGTGATATAAATTTCAAGGTCAGTGACATCAATTAAGCTAATAAATTTTGAACTTTACTGCGATTGCTGCTATAATTCTAGTCACTATAGAGATTTTTTCAGCAAATTTTGTCGGTTCTATTAGAAAATAATCATATCCATCAATAATATTTTAACAGTTATTGAAATAAACAAAAATAGCTGCAAAATATATTTCGTTATTACGCCTAGCAACGGTATTTTGCTGGACATGGACTTTTTTATAAAACTCTAATAAATGTAGTGGTAAACGATTTTCAGTCTACAGTCACCTCTGAGTCTTAAGACAACAAACGGCCAAGGGTTAGGGGGGAAGGGAAATAAACCGGCGGACGATGCGGGCGGTATCGAGGAGCACCGCCTTCTGCATTTCAGCCTGGAGCGATCCGCCACGTAATCCCAGCCGCCTCAGATGACCCGAGAGGCTGACTGGGATTAGCCCGTTTGCAGAGACGACTACAGGAATAATTTCGGTCGGCAGACCATCCCTCATATCGGTCACCTCGTGAGCCAGGTCCAGATATTTTGTTCGTTTATCTGTTTCGGCTTTCACGAGGTTCTCGTCATACAGAATGGTAATGTCGACCAAAAATATCCTTGACTCTGCCCGGTCCATTAGCACAATATCAGGCTTATTTGCAAGAATAGTCCTGTCTGTGATAATGGCCCGGTCCCAATAGAGCCTGGCGCGATCATTTTTGAGCACGGCTTCCGGAAAGTACTAGTAATACGGCAATTTCCGATCCACGAGACCGTATTTCAGAGCAAGCTCCTGGTGAAGAATTCTGGCTACCAGGTTGTGTCTGTGCAAGTACTCAGAGTTAGAAAGCGCCGAACAACCGGAGATGACATGCCTAAGTGACTCACCGGGATGGCGACAAGCTCGACAGATGTCGACGGTGCCATCATTTAGGATGTATCTCCGATAGTTGTTGGTCTTAATAACCTGATCTTGTATTGCACAGACAAAACCCTCGGATTCCCCGAAGAGGTCACCAAAGCGTAGCCAGTGGAGGGAGGCTACTGTGTCTACGAAAGGCTCATGTAGAACCTTGTAGAACCTGCCGTTGAGCTCCTTCTCTTTCCATACAGTCTCCCGGTCGGAAATGCTTTGTTCTACCGGGTCTTGCCATTGCTCGTTGGTTAAAGATAGAGGGGTAAGTCCCTTATCACTAGAAATGACGTCATTATAGAATGGATCATCCGATCTCACCAGGAAGTAATTACGGAGGCTGCACACTTCGCGATTATGCATGGTGAGCGCGCTCAGGAAGCCACGCCCACCATGCTTTCGCGGCAAGTACAGCCTCATTACCGACGATCTCGGATGATGCATCCTATGGGACGTCATGGTAGTGCGGACTTTTCTATCCAGGGCGTTAAGTTCGGTCTGAGTCCACCTGAGTATGCCAAAGGTATACATGAGGACAGACATGACCCAGCCGTTATATGCGTGTGCCTTATTCACACCGGACAAAAGGCTGTTAAGCACTTTGGTCAAGCGTGCATAAAACATGTCGCAAACTGACTGTATCATACCAGCCTCATCGATACCGATGTTCTGTGACATACCCAGGTATAGGTACGTTTCAGCCTCGGAAAGGGTTCTTAAGTTGACGGGCATAGATAAGTCTATGCCCACAGAGTTAGCAACCCTTCCCCTTTCAACACTTATCCGTCCCCAGCTCCATTCCAGTGGAATTGCTAAATTCACAAGTGATGTTTGGCAATACCATAAGATGGGAGCGACTGGAGGCGAATAACTTGAGGTCATCCATATAGAAAAAGTGGGTCACTTTTGTCCCTCCTTTCCGTAGCTGAAATTCTCTCCCGGAGCCCTTCAGTAAGGTACTGAGAGGGTTCAGAGAGAGGCAGAACCAGATTGGACTCAGACAATCGCCCTGGAAGATACCCCTTCTTATCCTTATGTGGTTCTCCGCAGCCATCATCCGCTCGCCCAGATTACAAAGTATCGTACTCCACTGCCCCATACACTGCTCGAGGAAGTCTCTAACTGTACAGTCTATACAGCTCGATATTTTACAGCTCGAGGACTCTCTTTAGCCATGTATGGGGCACCGATTCGAATGCCTTTCTGTAGTCTATCCAGGCGGCGGAGAAGTTCCGACGGTTGCGTTTCACCACTTTGCCAATGACTGCCTCAATGAGGAGTGGTTCCTTGGTTCCACGACCACCGCCCGACATCCATTTTGAGCGCGTGACATCACCTGATTTGAGTCCAGGTGACGAGTGATTCTCGCGCTCAAAATAGATGTTAGTGTCTAGTATATGGTCAGTAGACACGTGATGGGGCGGTATTTACTCGGGTCTGTGGTACCCTGGTCCTTAGGAATCAAATAGGTGATCCCAGTAGTGAAGAGGCTTGGGAGCGACTTCTGGTTGAGAGCCTCTTGAAACTGTCGGGCGAGCACATTGTGATACACCACTAACCCCTTCAGCCAGCAGTGATGCAGCCCGTCGAGTCCCGGACTTTTCCAGTTCGGGGCCCTACTAATGATACATAGAGCCCCTTCTGATCACTCTGGAAGAGACGATTCTGGTTGAACCGTGTCGACCTCTCGGTATATCGCCGAATCCGCTTTCCCCAAGCAGCGATTCTCTGCTTCAGATCATCTATGCGCTCCGTCAGTTTTTGCGTTATATCCGGCTGGGACAAACTGACATTTGTCCCAGCAAACGCCATCCTGACGGTGCGCACAATTCTTGGCCTGTTATTGCCAGATCTGATGCATATCAGTTTGCTGATAAGAGCTCTAGTATTTGCGATACGCTCCTCAATTCTTCTTCTCCATACTGGGATAGCGCTACTTTGGCCAGTAGCGTGTCCAGCCGTGGAAACCTTGGTGTCCATGATACGGCAGACTGCTAGCGCGGCGCCAAAAAGAATTGAGTACGTCTCGCAAAGGTCCCGGCTGGCTTCCAAAAAGGTCACCAGCATTGGGTTCAGAGCACTCACGACAGCCCGATTCCGCTTACTTAGGGCTATGCGTGGAAGTCGCGGTCGATTTTCGAGAGGCGTACTGCGCGTTTCCACAATTGCCTCTTCCAATGTACTCCTCATATGCTCTAATTCCAGTTCCTGGGCGACTGTTCCATCATCGTTTGAATCAACCACAACTGGGGTATTCACGTTGGCATCCATTTTTGCGGGTTGCTCTACAATTTGTGGCGCCGCATCCTCAGCCGTAGCATTTTTATCCGATGAGGGAACAGCCTCTCGTCGTAGCCGTTTGAGTTCGGCGACATCAAATATATTTGAGCGCAAGATATACCGAACTCGGTCTGCCAGGTTTTGCTCTGTGACGGTTAAAGATGGCTCCAGCTCAGCAAAAAGACGATGGATCTTAGCTCGATACGCCAAACATCCAGTTTCTTCCCTTTTGCCCTAAAGTACGCCCGCAGTGCGTTTGCGTTCATTGCTTGTGACCAACGCATGCGCGGTGCTCCACCAGCGGCGGGTGCCGCTTACTGAGTCCAAAAAGTCTCCTTTTCCTCTCCGACACCAAGCCTTCTGGTGGGGATGATGGATGCGGAGGGCTGCTAGGTGACCATGCAACTCCTTGCGCTCGGCTGGCGGTCCGCATGCTGCCGCGTCCAGCGCCAGCTCCAGACTCGATCCGGCGACCCCCAGGCAGCGACCCTATGCGCGTTCCTCTTTGTGCCATCATCCATTTTATGAGCCCATAATAACGGGAGACGCCCCAGGCCGGCACCGTTTCGTGGTTCGGTCATATGCTCAAACGGACCTTTGCACCCACAATTTTGCCTAGGCACGGCGTTCACACCTCTTGGCAGGATGCTGACTGACGCCGTAGCAGTTTTTTCACATAACTGTTACGTCAGCGGGCGATGGGGTCGTCACTTCCCTACGCCTATTTATTATTATTATTATTATTATTATCACATTGCACATTTGCATGATTTTACCAGGTGGTAGGACTCCTTTTTGTCCAGGAGTCTGTCTGGATCAGGACCACCCTTTTACCTAGCCAATTATGCCAAGAAATAGCAATGACTGCACGGCTGTGCACTGGTATGAAATTTACAAAAAGCCATTATAATTACAGTTTTCAAATTTGTGAGACATTACAATTTAATGCTCAGAGTAAGTAATAATAAGAATAGGTTTAATTTTTCTATAACCCATTTCTTTCCATTCCATTCCATTACAGCCTATAAAAGTCCACTGCTGAACGTAGATCTCCATCATAGATTGCTTTATAGGGAGATTTTGTCATAGTTTCGACGCTTGACAGGAGGTTGGTAATTAATTAGAGGAAGAAAATGCTGCTGCCCATCTCCTGTCTAGTTTCCCTCTTACGACACCCACGAAATGATATGAAGTCATGGATATTCTTACACCACCATTACACAGTTTCAATAAATGGATAAAATATACATAATGATTTCCTATATTTACGCGAACACTACACATTGATTAAAATTATAGTCTGCAGTTTGTGATCATATCCTAGATGGCCGCCATTTCATCAGATTTGATAAACCAAAAATTTTCACGAAAGAAAATCGATAAATACCAAAGATGAAACGTGAGGCTATTGAAATTAAAAAACATCCTAATTTCAATAGAGATGGAGGCTGGATACTACCACCTGCTTGGGATCCTGTAATTAATTAAATTAAAACTAAACCCAAGCATACTACTGCAAGACACAGCAAGTTCATTCTTCATGTGTAGATCTCACCATAAATAATAATTAAAGAGCTGAAGGTACTCCGGGCTTAAACTGAAATTGAGAAGTCCGTCACCTCAGTCCCTCGTGACCATGGGTGCTGGAAAACACCCAAAACGTTGGGAATTAAAGGACAAGTAGAATAATAGTGATTAAATCCGTAAAAGTAGTTTTAATCAATGGATAAAATTTATCTACTTGCAGTAGTATGCTTGGGTTTAGTTTTAATTTAATTAATTACAGGATCCCAAGCAGGTGGTAGTACCCAGCCTCCATCTCTATTGAAATTAGGATGTTTTTTAATTTCAATAGCCTCACGTTTCATCTTTGGTATTTATCGATTTTCTTTCGTGAAAATTTTTGGTTTATCAAATCTGATGAAATGGCGGCCATCTAGGATAATTATGATCACAAACTGCAGACTATAATTTTAATCAATGTGTAGTGTTCGCGTAAATATAGGAAATCATTATGTATATTTTATTCACAGGTAAAATACAAAACAAAAATAAAAAATCAATAAGGTTCTATTGTTTAAAAATTACATACTTAGGCTATAATTTAACTGACGATTGAAATATCAGCCACAAGTGATAGAATAAAATGCTACGTCCAGAATTTATTTCATTTTCTCTTTTTTTCCTTGTTAGTTGAAAACACGGAAATCTCATTGTGAAACATTGTTATTGTAGAGATGTTATCATTTTATACGAAAACGTACTAACTTCTACCTAAAAATATAGAATTCTCATTGTATTTTGTTGATATAAGTTTGCTTCGTATGAAAGTTGCCCTCTGTTTACGCACCAAGGAAATACTAAAAATAAGGAACGAATTTCGCACAACAATGTTATAATTCTAGTTAACACTTCTTGTTATTGTTAATTAAATTAATAAATTCATACCATTTTTGATTTTGTTGCTAGATTGTGGAGGGTAGTCTGAGTACATTACACTTATTTTTTGCTTTTAAATTAGCAATCAATGGTAACGGGAGGCAGGTGTCTGTAAGGACTCTTACTTGTTTCGAAAGATGCTATTCCTATCGTTGCATCAGATTTACACCGTGAGTTAGACAGTTTGGAGAGTTGAGGTTGGGTGGAGCGGTTACTTGTGGTTATGAGTGGTAAAAGGATGACCGTACGACCAGCCAATCAATGGACTTTATCCTGATGATAGAGGACTTCCTGTGACTTAGTATATTCAGGAGAGTTCTCAGTCGGAGCAGACCTTGAAAATTAGCTCGATTTGTGGCTCAGGTAGTTCACCTTGTAGTATTGTAATTATATTTGTCTCTGACCACAAATTCATGTTTCAAATGCTTCCCACACTCCAATTTCTGACTCGCCAGATTCAAGCAAGTGTTTAAAATTGAGCTGTGGTTGATGATCTTTGCAACTTATTTTAACAATAACTGTATATGACCATGGCATTATGGACTAGCCGAATCTACTAAGGATCTATGGGATAATACTCATTGAGACCAGTACTGCGACTACAGCTGAATCTTAAGGATTGGTACTACAAAATATTCCTTAGCACGCTTGCAATGGAAAGGTGTGAAATGTCTAATAGAGAACAAGCAAAATTTGAACAAAAGTAATCGTGTCACTTTTGAGCATACGCACAAAATAGCTATCCTCTTGGTAGTGGATATTCTTACACTATCATTACAGTTTCAATATTTAGATAAAATTTCCGTTTTTCACATTTTTTTGGGGCTGCGGTGCGGGGGGCTTTTGGGGGGGGGGCTGGGGGGGGAATACATTTTAATCCCTCCCATTTTCACCATTACGAAAAAACACACACTCGATGGGTTGCTACCCTTTTTAGGGTTACGTTCCATGTCCGTCTGTTCGCGTCCGCGGTTATACTCCGAGGCCCTACGTGCTACAAATCTGTAATTTGGCATAGTTATAGATAATAATTACGCCTACAAAACTGTGAAATAAAATCTTACAATTTTTTTATTTTATGTACCTCCTATATAGGTGAATGGATGGATGATGTTTTTACCCGTACATTCGATATTGTTGGATAGGTCTTTCAAAAACACTGGTGATATGGAAGAATACATTTAGAAATCATGACAAGTCAAGTATAATAAACCAGCATAGGTCATATATGACGTCAACAACTTTATTCCTCTAAAGAAGAATAAGAATAATTCAATACGAAGTGCCGCGTGATCCGCCTCGGCTAAGCACTCGTAATTCCTGGATCTGTACAATAGTACCAATTGTGTTTTTAAACTATTCAAGGACCCACTGAAATACACATAAAAATCATCAAAATCGGGCGAACCATTTTCGAGTTTTTACGGGACTAACAGAGAGCAATTGATTGTTATATACAGAGATTTACGATGGAATTCTCTGTCTTTCTGCCAATAATTTGGTATCCTGTTTCTTTAACTTACCGGACCAAATATCAGCATTACTTTATTTTAACATGATCAGCATCTTGTTATTTAAGATTTAAAGCCATATGTGTAATCGTGACGTACAATTATATGTTCGTAAAATAAAAAGTGTGCTTAAAGATAAAGAAAGATTTGTAATGTTTTTTTACCAATAAGGAATATATTTAATCATTTAATAATACATTTTGATGAAAATAAAACAGGGGTTCATATGTGCTCTAGGAATGATTTTTTTAAATAAAAAAAATCTGATAGATGTATGACATCCCACTCAGATCAATGGCGCTATTTAAAAACATTTTACGTCAGTTTGAAAACAAAACGGTTTCATGACCGAAGAGCTGAAATAAATTGATTAAATACAAACTAACAAGTAAAACATAGACAAAGGTTTTATTTTTATAACTACTGGTTGCTTCGCATACGCGGATAGAGCCACATTGCATACTGCCGTTTCGCATGGTGAGTGATTAAAACTTTTAGGAGAAAAGATCTACTTGTGAGTTTCTTGTCGCTTTTTCTTATGAGCTCCCCCGCAGTACAGACTTGTTTTTTTTTCTGGAAGAGGGGTAAACGAACATACGGTCCACGTGATGAAAAGTGTCGACCATCACTGATGAACAACTGCAACATCAGGGGAATTGTTGATATGAAGCCGGCCTATTAAAAAAGGAGTATGTAAGTGAAGCGATGGCGTTGTTTTTATAGACCTTGTAAGGAGAAGAGGCAAGAAACTCAGAAATAGACTCTTTCAACCAATATTTACAATTAAGTCAAAGAGGCGTCCTCAACGATGACAACACATCTGTATTTTGATTTATAGTCGAGCATAGGAGCCGTGTAGAGCAAGTAGCTCAGATGGTTAGCGCTCGCTGTAGTACGCGAGCAAACCGGGTTCGATCCCCGCTGGCACCAATGAAATTGTTAATTGCAATTTTAAGTGCTGATTTACCACGTGCTTGGCGGTGAAGGAAAACATCGTGAGGAAACCTGCATGTCAGAGAAATAAGGAAAAAAATATTTCGAAGACATGTGAAGTTCGCCAACACGCACTGGGGCAGCGCGGCGGACAATTCCTTGCCCTAAAACCCTCTCAGAAATGAGCGGAGGCCTGTGCCCAGCTGTGGGACGTATATAGGCTGTAACTTTTATAGATTAAGGTGTCTGTGGACCACAGCAACTACTTACCATCGGATGGAAAAAGTTCTTGTAAGAAAGAAAAGTTAAACATTTGATGTTAGGTTG